AAAATGTGTTTTTACACATGGTGAATCATACTTTTTTGGTATTTGCATACATTTAAAAACTGTGTGCATAACAGGGTCTTCTATTTATTGCACATGCATGTTGAATTGATTGCGTAAATTGAGTTAAAGAAGATCTCATATGTATTGGAGAAATTAATTAATTTGATTTTATATAGGAAGCCAAGTAAGGATCCGAATGTATGCTTTGAAATATTTAATATTTTATTGTACAGAATAAATTTGTTATCCTAACAGCCATTACCACTGGCAGGTACAATTAAATGTATGATTATATCACTGCTTTATTTGCATAACTTTGAATAAATAAAAAGGACAGGTTTATGCTTATCTGTTTGTTCTTGTCAAGCAGTAGTTGTGTGGCATAATACTAAAACTGACAGGTAGTTGAATAACTGGAAAAAAGCAGGAGCAAAACTATTATTATTAATATTACTGTTATTATTATTGTTGTTCTTGATCATAAAGATGATGATGATGATGATTGACATTTCTCTCAGAAAAGAAATGGGGAAAATTGTTAAGTTCTCTATCCTAATATGTTATGTAAACCACAGCAAAGATCATATATAATGGCAGATGATGATGATGATGACAATGGTGATGAAAACTTTCTTTGACATTTGTTGTTTTAAATTCATCATTTGTTATTAAAAGTATTTTATCCATGTTCTTTAGTTGAAAATAGATTAAAACTTAAAATAAGAAAAACTCTTTTAAGCTAGGATGCTCATAGCCTATGCAATGGGTTTGCTGATAAAAAAAAATTCCATTTGTTTTATTTAAGTACGTAAACCCTATGATCTATATATTTATATTCATATTCTTATAACATTAAGCCAAAAAGGGAAAAGCCTTCTTTATTGTGAATACTGCTGCATTTTAAGGTACACTTGTCTGTCTTGTGGAAAAACTCAGTTTGACAAGATTTTCGCAATGGGATCAGATAATCATTGTCCATTTCATGGCATTAATATCTCTCTCTCTCTCTCTCTCTCTCTCTCTCTCTCTCTCTCTCTCTCTCTCTCTCTCTCTCTCTCTCTCTCTCTCTCTCTCTCTCTCTCTCTCTCTCTCTCTCTTCCGATGATGGAATACTCTCTCTCTCTCTCTCTTCTGATGATGGAATAGTCATAGCGTGCATACCTCTGTTGAATGAAAATAGAGCACTCTTTCTCAGTCTTACTGGATGCACAAATTGTAGACTTGATGTTATTGAGAATCTCAAAAGGATTGTGATTATTTGATACAGATATTGTTCCAAGTGTAGAATAAAGGTATTTCTAAATGTAGACCAGAGGAGTTATACAAGATCTCAGATGAATATTGAAAGGTGGATGCAGAAACTGTACTTAATGTATAATAGAGATGTTACAGGGGATCTCAAATGAGTAATGATTACTTGATGCAGAATTTGTGATAAATCTAGACTACATGTGTTATAAAGGTTCTCATATGGGTAATTATTACTAGATGCAGAATATATATATATATATATATATATATATATATATATATATATATATATATATATATATATATATATGTATATTATTAAATGTAGATCAGAGGTGTTATAGAGAATCTTAGATGGGTAATGATTAGTGGAATCAGAACTAAAGGTATTGTAGAGGATTTCAAATGGGTAATGAGTACTGGTTACAGAATTTGAACTAAATGTAGAATAGAGGCATTATAAATAGAGGATCTCAAATTTATAATGATTACTGGATGCAGAAATTGTATTAAATGTAGATTTAAAGTTTGTGATGTACATTGATTCCAGATTTAATGTTTTTGTAACTGGATATTTTCATTATATAGTTTGGAAGAAAACTATTTAGAAAACTTTTTGTAAGTTTTGAGGCTATTATTCGCTAACATTTTTTTCATATGTTTACATTTATTGGTCGATATTTAAACTACACTTATCATGGCAGTAGGTGCAAGGTCTCTAGTGCATTGTAGTAGCAGTGTACTCATGTTCTGGTTTTGTTTTAGCATCCAGAGAATTCTACGATTGATAAATTGGCCATACTGCATCATAAATAAAACCACTACTGTGCATTTTTGTGATAGTGACATGTTTTCCCAATGTCCACTTGGAAGATGGCCAGCATATTTTTTATTGTAATAGTAAAATGATCCAGAAGGTAGGACAAAAAAAATTGATGAGAAGAATTTCATGGACTTATGTGGATCAGTCAGATTCACAGAAAATGATATGTTAACATGTTGATGTATCAATGCATCAAAATCTGCAAACATTATATGTAATGTGTAACAACCATGTGATAAATATAATTATGAGCACCTCACATTTTAAAATTGGAAAGCATGCTAAATTTGCAATTGTGATATTTTAGTCAAATGAAAAAAAAAATATGATTGTCATGCACTTGTGTCTAATTTTCTGCATTGCAATAAATAAGAAAACATTTTTAAAATCACCATTATCTTAAATTCTAAATGATGACATTTTAAAATCTAGACTCAGTGATTTACAATAAGTTATAAGATATTTTAAGAAATGTCAATATTTTTGTAGTATCTAGAGGTCCTAAAAAGCAGGAAGTAACTTGATGAAATCCCTCCTATTTAAATGAGTCAGCCAACTCACTATGACATTCAGATGTGTGTCTTTCATATGGTATATAGCTCTTTCATAATCTTACATCAGGCATCAGTGTTACAGTGTTGTTGAACTGCATGAAAGTTTTGTTCACTTAAAATATTTTTGTTTTTTTTAATAGGTGTGGATTTTTATCAGTTGTTTACTGTAGTATAAATTAAAGGTATATATCATATTTCACACACTGTTGATAGTCATAATTATGAATGCCCTCAACTTTACATTGTGAATCTCCACTGGTATTACTTTATGATACATATTGACATTAGTTATAATTATGTAGGACCTCCACTTTACATTGTGAATCTCCACTGGTATTACTTTATGATACATATTGACATTAGTTATAATTATGTAGGACCTCCACTTTACTTTGTGTATCTCCACTGGTATTACTTTATGATACATATTGACATTAGTTATAATTATGTAGGACCTCCACTTTACTTTGTGTATCTCCACTGGTATTACTTTATGATACTTATTGACATTAGTTATAATTATGTAGGACCTCCACTTTACTTTGTGTATCTCCACTGGTATTACTTTATGATACATATTGACATTAGTTATAATTATGTAGGACCTCAACTTTACAGTGTGAATCACCACTGGTGTTACATTATGATACATTTTGACAGTAGTTATAATTATGAAAGCCCTCAACTTTACATTGTGAATCACAACTGGTGTTACATTATGATACATTTTGACATTAGTTATAATTATGTAGGACCTCAACTTGACAGTCTGAGTCACCACTGGTGTCACAATATGATACATAATGACTGTAGTCATAGGTATGAAGGATCTCACTGATGTCTGAGGATAAAATGATACATATGGGTTGTATCATTTATTAGTGGAAGGACATCAAAACACATGTGACTCTTTGGGTCTCCTGAAAATTGATGTCCTTCTACTAGCAAACTGATGTAATACAAACACCTGGATCAAGTTACTGTACTGATGATGAGTTTGCTATTTACCCTAAACTATTATTTCATAATAAAAAAGACAATTATTTTATGTTAATGCTGCTGTTCTTTTAATTTTGATGCCATCTATCTACTCATATTTTACATTGTGTCGAAATGTTGTAACCGTAGTAGTTCCTGCATGTGACCATTGTTAGGTGACATCGCCTTTGACAGTCCAAAATTGCAGTCTGTATCAGATGAACATTTAATATGATGTTTCAGGCAAGCTTGGGGGGAAAAATATCTCTCAGTTGTATAATGAATGGTATATCATAAATGCACACTGTTATATATTTCTTCTGTGATTCTTTTATTAAAAAACTTCTGATGCTCAGAACTTTTTATCAGAGCTTATTACTGTCTTTACTAGCACAGCCTGCACAACAATTACAATGATTGTACAGAATTTGATTATTAACACTTAGGATGGAATTTTAAAAATGTTGAAAATTTTAAACCTGATGAAAGATTTAAAATTTGATACTGCAAATTATCACCATATATTTAATGCAAGGTGAGTATAGCTATCGTTATGTTTGTCTGGTGTACATTGCAGTCTGCTCAAAACCTCTTTTCAACTCATTTACACATACTGTACTAGTGGTCTGGTTGTGCTTTCTGCTGTATGACAATGTATTTTATGCTATTCACAATTCACAATGTGCATTTTGATATTCACATTTCACAATATGCCTTGTGATATTCACAATTCACAATATGCATTTTGATATTCACAATTCACAATGTGCATTTTGATAGTCACAATTTACAATGTGTCTTGTGCTATTCAAAATTCAAAATGTGCCTTGTGATATCTACAATTCACATTATACCTTGTGTTATTCACAATTTACAATGTGCCTTGTGTTATTCACAATTCACAATGTGCTTTCTTATATTTACAATATACCTTTCAATATTCACAATTCACAATGCACCTTTCATATTGACAGGTTATGAATTCATCTTGCTGTTATTAATAGAGAATTTGATGTCATCTGGCCACAAGACCTTGAGCAGCCATATTGCTTTTAAACAAACAACAAAATGTGATGCTTACAATCAACCATGTCTTATACTCCGAAAACTACTATGCTGTTCGTGTCAATTTGTGTGTTTGTGTGTGTGTGTGTGTGTATGTGATTTGGTTTTTGACATAGCTTTAACAATTTTTCAGTCATATTGATATGATGTCTGCAGTGTAGCAGTTTATAGTGATGTCTAGCAATGGGGAATCATGTGGCAGACATGTAGCATGATGTTCCACCCAATCACATAATCCTGACACAATGCCAACTATTCCTTATACTAACCTCTTAATGCTGAGTGCCAAACAAGGCAACTGTTAGTACCATTTTAATAAGTCTTTGGTATGACTCAGTTGGGGATCGAACCCATGACCTCCCACATTTGAGGTGGACTCTATAACCAATAGGACACTGGAGCAGTCATATCAATTTACACAAAATAACACTCATTCAATGTGTATAAAAAAACACTCAAACATAAATATTAACCTCTTTTAGTATACAAAACAAAGACTTGTTTTATTGTCTTTAAGTAGTCGAGTTTGTGGAAATCAGTGATTTATTGGGCAAGATGATGATTGTTTTATTGTGCGGCGAAGTAAAAATAGTAATAAACCCATTCAGTAGTAACCTCTCTCCGTTATCATAATTTGCATCATGTATTTCAATTCCACTTGGTAAACTTAAAATTGTTTTTCAAAATCTTTGGGTCCTTTATTTATCCTCTTGTTTACTTTCATTCATGTGCAGTCATATATTTAGATGTCCTATTTGTCTATCTTTTTTACATTCATTTAGTTTTTGTTCATTTTTTGATTCCTTTTATATTTTTTTCCACTTTTTTACTTACCAGCTTATTTACAACCTACATGTGTTTGCCAATTTCATTGTGCATTCCTTTGAATGATAAGACTGTCCAGTAAAATAAAAAACTAAATCAGCCAGATTATTAATGGCAATTTCAGTATTAAATTTTAAAAGAAAAATAATTTCAGGAAAATCCAAAGGCACATGCTTTAATTAAATTGATACAGCCATGGTGGAGGAATTCCTGCAGGTTGTGAAAATAAATATGCCTTGTGCTATTCACATTTCACAATGTGCCTTGTGCTATTCACATTTCACAATGTGCCTTGTGCTATTCACATTTCACAATGTGCCTTTTGATATTTACAAGTCACAGTGTTCTTTCTAATCACAGTTTTATGTTTCAGTGTCAGTATGTTGTACAATTTGTATCCATCAGTTCATCAGTCTGCCCCACATTTGTATCTGGGCAAAGCTCCAAAACCATAGAAGCTGTCTCACTGAATGTTAGACTCAACAGTATGTGCCTTGTGTGATTCATAATTCATTAGTTTCAATATATTTTAACATTTTCATTTATTTATTCATCCATCCATCCTTTCATTATTCACACTTATTTTTTGTAGTCCAAGTCCAAAACAATTTAAGATATTTCTGTGAAATGTTTTGCAAGTGGTCCATATATAACATTAGCTTTTCATAATTCTTCAGCTTGTTTATTTCTAATGTTTTCATCAGTTTGTTGATCATTCACACTTTAGTTACTTGGGCAACACCTTTCAGATATTGGTATAAAATTTAGTACATGTATTGGAGTTGTGATCACAATATGCCTTTTTCAAATTCAGAAAGTCCTAGATAAAAAAAAAATGACCTGTCATCACATTTTCTAAAATTCTGTAATATGGAAGTGTGGATGGTTTCTTCTGCATACAATTTTTAAATTATGCCTTCATTCAAACTTTTGGGATTTAATGTGCAACACATAAAAAGTTGGCACTCATTATTATCGTGCTAAAAGTATGGCACACATTGTTGTGATAAAAGGATGGCACATTATTTTTGTGACAAAAGCATTGTTCACATTTTTTTTGTGATAAAAGCATGGCACACATTGTTCTGATAAAAGGATGGCACACATTATTGTTGTGATAAAAGCATGGCACACATTGTTCTGATAAAAGCATGGCACACATTGTTCTGATTAAAGGATGGCACACATTATTGTTGTGATAAAAGCATGGCACATTGTTGTGACAAAAGCATTGCACACATTATTTTTGTGATAAAAGCATGGCACACATTGTTTTGATAAAAGCATGGCACACATTGTTCTGATTAAAGGATGGCACACATTATTGTTGTGATAAAAGCATGGCACATTGTTGTGACAAAAGCATTGCACACATTATTTTTGTGATAAAAGCATGGCACACATTGTTGTGATAAAAGCATGGCACACATTGTTCTGATAAAAGCATGGCAAGCATTGTTGTGATAAAAGCATGGCACACATTATTGTTGTGATAAAAGCATGGCACATTATTGTTGTAACAAAAGCATAGCACACATTGTTCTGATAAAAGGATGGCACACATTATTGTTGTGATAAAAGCATGGCACATTATTGTTGTGACAAAAGCATAGCACACATTATAGTTATGATAAAAGCATGGCACACAATATTGTCAATGACCATTTTTTTAATCACTAAAAGTGATAATAGAACCATGAATGAAGTATGATTGTCCCTCTATAGTAATTTTGAAGCATGTATTCTTGAATAAATGTTGTATTGTTACAGCTCTTCTTTGTATCAGAAATCCTATACAAAATCCACTTGCACTGATTTCTGTATTAGAAGTAAAACCTCTCCATGTTTTTATGATGTGCACCCTACAGCCCATTTTGAAATCCCTTATCTGATCTTATTTCAGCTTGTGCTGCAAAATTGGCCTAATAATATATTAAGGGGTGTTATGATTTCTATAGTTTAAACAAACACAGGAAGCATTTAATAAGGTTTGTGTTATTGAAGCAGAAAAAGGATTGGCAATGAGATGCTGTGGTTCTCAAGTAGCATACAGCACACATTTTGTAAGTATATTAATGGTGGAGATCCTGATCTGTTGGTGATTTTATGTCCTGACAGATCTGGATCTGTTCTATTAATTTCAATTATTATTTCATGTGAACAGAGTAGATCCTGATCTGTTGGTGCATTATATGTGGAAAGATCTGGTTCTGTTTTGATTCTAGGCAATATTTCAAGTAAACATTACAAACATGATCTGGAGGTGTATTGTTTGAGAGCAGATCTGGGTGCATTCTCTTACTTCTATGTATTATTTCAAGAAAATCTTTGTCAGCTGGTGTGTTCATTTAGGGCAGATCTTGGTTTATTAATTTGCATATTAATTCAAGCAGACAATGCAGGTACTGATGTATTGATACATAATTGATACATAATGTGAAGACACACCTGGGTCTATTGTAATTCCACATGTACATTTCAAGTTGACAAGCAGGTCCTGATCTACTGGTACATTCTGTTGGGGCACATCTGGATCTTGTCACTTAATTCTGGGTAATATTTTAAAGTAGCCAATGCAGGCTCTGACCTATTTATGCATTAATTTAGGGCAGATCTGGGTCTGTTCTCTTAGTCCTGTGTATAGTTTTAGGTAAACAGGACAGAACCTGATCTCTACAGATGCATCATGTGGGGCCAGATTCTTATCTGTTCACTTAGATCTGTTTATTATTTTGAGCAAACTGCACATGCTAACTTTCTTGTATGATATGTGTTGGCAGATCTGGGTTTATAGTGTTTATTCTAATATTGGACAATTATGTTACCAAAAAATCTCTGCAACATTGTTTGCTAAAAAATATTTGTGTGTGCAGAAGTTGCTTTGATCATTTGGTTTTATTAAAAAGTAGCATTTAGGAGTTACAAAGTTTTATTTAAGATTTGAAATGTTGAGGCAGATGTTGAAGTGGGTAAGTTATATATGGCTGAATAGAAGGGATATTTGTGTGTGTTTTGTGTATAGGGAAACAAGTCTGGTTTAAAATGTATTTTGAATAAATAGGCCTTGGCTTAAGGATAGAGGAATAATAATAATAATAATAATAATAATAATAATAATAATAATAATAATAATAATAATGAATAACAGGCACATAGTCATAAGGAAATATTGATTGTTTATCTATTAAAGGATGAAAAGTTGCTTTTAATATCACTTGATTATTGGCAATATCATGCCAAGGAAATGAGAGCAAAGTGCTTACTGAAGCAGACACCAATAAGGTTAATCCATACTTTTATGTGCAAGTATCAAACATGAAACCCATGGATAGCATATCTGACATTCTACCAGCTGAGCAACCAAGCTTCCAGGACAGATTGATTGGTATATATCAAAGATATGAAACTGGTCGTCTGAATGCATGGCCCTAGGGAGTGAGGAATTAAAAATTGATGCATTTTCTGATTTGCAGTTTTTACTTATTTTCTATATTATTGTAAAACCAGAAATATTAATGGATTATTAGAGTATATTTTTACCATATTTTTACCATGTTTACTTGCTTATAAGACAAGTCCACCTGCAAACTGCACAGACCTCTATCTGGGTTTGCATAATGCATCAGCAGATCTGGGTCTCTATAGTTTGTTAGGAGTATTCACTTGAGCCAACAACATAAACCCTAATCTGCAAGTGCATTTTGCTGCAGCAGATCATGATCTTTGTTGTTTGCAGTTTGACTTTACTTATAAGTGAGTATGTATGGTATTATTTTTGGTAAAACAAAATTATCCAAGGAAATTAAATATGCATAACAATAGTATTGTAGGTTGGCTGTTGAAGAAAACAGTGAGTGTGACCCTATGAACTGTCTGCTTACTCCCAGGCCATAAAATGATGTCCACCTAGATATTTTTGGTTTCTTAATAGTGTACATAGTTTCTTAATACTGTCCATAGTTTTACTTCTAACCTTTTTCAGTGATTTTGTATACTAACTTAATTTGAATACAGATTTCTGATGTTCAGCCAGTATTGGCTTCCAGTACTTGCCCATGCAACATTATAATATGCTGAACTTGGGATGCTTCCTTCATTAGTCCAACTCAGATTCCCTTCAGTTGTCTCATTGATTCTCAGCTTAATGAAATTGAAACTCTTACAATTTAATGGAGCACAATCAATACTTTCTTCTCATTTCACCGCATTTTGCCTTTATTCTGCTTGTTCCTGAGCAGAGGTCTTTCCAATTTGGCGAGTGTAACAATAGAACTTCCTTTCATTAAAACACAATGGATACTAATCTGTCATTATGGAAGCAAAGAATGTTATGTTCTGATTTCTCTTCTTCGATTAAAAAAAATGTATCATAATTGTGTAGACAAAATAATCAATGCAGATTTGCAATAATCCGCTTTGGAATATGTTCGATTTGTAGGGTATTGGCCCAAGTCATAGAGAATCTCACCAACAATCAACTTCAGCAGTGATTAAGTCATTTGTAATTTGCCATCAGTCTGTGGAGAGGGCCCAGACTATGTATCACTTGTATGCCTGGCAATATTTACCATAACATTTTCC